AGTACATCCCCTATCTCATCCCAAACAAGTTTGAGAGTCCATCCCCTATCTCCTCTCAAACCAGTGGAGTACATCCCCTATCTTCTCCCAAACAACATACATATACAATGTATTTAAACACTTATCATATACGATGATCAAGCAAAGCACATATTCAATGTGTTATTTCTTCCGTCATATTCAATGGCATACTCAATTGATTAGTTATAATTTACCTAATCATCATGCAGTGTCTACAACACTCAAGACTATCCTCCACCGATAGCCCAAAACAATTATTTCTAAATAGATAATAAATTATCAAACAGATAAATTATCTACAATTTCAAAGTTGAGTGATTTATCAATCCAACTCCACCATTCTATCTCATAATTACCCAATTTCATTATTTCCAACTCAATTTCATATTTCCATAACTTTTCCAAATTAATTCATCACAATAAATTAGGGCTTTTCTCCCCCTTTTCTCAATATTGACCCAAAGGTCCAAATAACATCAATAAACCCATTTTAAGACCCATATACACAAGTATAACTCAAAAGGAATAAAACCCCACCCCCCAAACTTTCCCAACTTTAACATTAAATCAAAATGACCACAAGTTTATGTCAAAGATCATAAATATGAGTAGTTATTCCTACCTCAAATTTCGGAGCTCAAAGGAGAAGATGAAGAAACTCGAAGGTGCTCCAAACCTAAAGATTTTCGGATCCACACAAAGCCCACACCAAGCTCTATACTTTTTACAAAGGGATTAGGGATGAGGATCACCAAAACTAGATGATTTTGTAGAGAGAAGCAGTATTCTAGAGAGAGGAGCTCTCAAATGAGGGTTTTGAAAAGTAAGAGAGAGAGAGAGAGTTGAAAAAGTGATTTAAAATGACCCAACTGCAATCTGATATACGTATGACCCGCTCGAGCGTCAGACACAAAAACTTCATCCGCTCGAGTGCAAAAAGACCCGCTCGAGCGCCAAGGCACAACAGCAAGACGCTACCCGCTCGAGCGCAAAGGGACCCGCTCAAGCGTAGATTACACTTCTCCAGTACTTTTATAGATTTCGAACACCCGCTCGAGCGCGACCCGCTCGAGCGTAAGGAGATCTGCTCGAGCGTGAAAAACACACCTGCAGTATTTTTGCAGACGCACAAAATGCTGAAAGGATGTAAACTCCGCTCGAGCGCAAAGGGACCCGCTCGAGCAGATTATCAAAAATCTGGGCAACAAGAATAGAGACCAAAGCTCAACCAACCTGTTCGAAACACGCCCAAGACATTTCTAAACTCAACTTCAAAGAGTTAAAGGACCGAAATGTAATTCAGACAACAACAAACATCCACGGAACCGAGTCCGGAATACAATAAACAACGAGAGAAAAACCGGGATCGCTATACCTTTACTTGATTTTTCTCTGTTAGGGTAATCAGTGCCACATGAATCATATCATTGGCCTGTCTAAGTTGACATTTGATGCAGTGAATATTCAGGAAGAGCAGGTTAACTATGAAGTTGGTAGTGAACGCAGAGACACTCATGAAAGGATTTGAATACTTGAAAAAGCATACCTTTTTCCATTAGAGGACTCAAAATACCAGAAATGAAAAGAAGATAATGAGGAAGTAGAGATGTGAGAAAATGTACAAAGTTGTTTTTTGGCTATTCAAATTGGTGCCTTTCACTTTTGTTTTTGTCTGTACTTTTATTCACATACTTGTGAACTTCACTGTCGCCAAACCCATTGTTAACTTCTTCCACTTCAAATTGTGAAGTATCAATTGGCACCCACGATCTCAAGAAAGCTTAAGTTATTGTGAACCTTCGTATGCAGTATAGAAGGAGTACACAAAGTCTTTTTGGTCCTAATTCAAGTGCCTAGAGCAGTTATTTATCGATTTGTGCCCCTCAATGTTTTCCATTGGTAGCATCCCATGTGTGGGTTTGGTAGCATCCCATGTGTGGGTTTCTTCCCCTCGTTTTTTTTAAATAGCATCCAACTGTAATTTGAAGCTTAGGTGACGAAAATGCTACATGCTTCTTATTTTCAGTATACCAAATTTGATGGCCACAATTATGATATTTAAGCTTTGACATAAAAATTTTAATGTTCAGATGTTTGCACTACTAAAAGTTTTGTTGAGCACGCTGTACCAGCTCCGTTACACTTTGCTTTAAGGCCATTCAGTTCACTAATAATTTGCAGCCAAAGAACATGGGGAGGAGAGATGTCTCAGGTTTGTCAGTTCTTCCGAACTTGTGTTCTTGTTATTTCGTTTTTTCCTGGCTTTGGAAATCTTCTCAATTTCTTCACTATGCTATGATTTGTGGGCAGTCGTAACAATATAATTTACCTGCGCAAACACAACAAAGCATCTCCCTGGAAGTGGAAACATGGAGAAGGCTTTAGTTAGTCTGTTCATAACATATATGCTTATGTTTCCTTATTCAAAGTTTAAATATGTTTACCAAGAACTGTATAACGATATATAAATTAGTTGTATATAACGCTTCTTGACAAGTGCGGAACACAACCATCTCCATCTGCACCTTTTCAAGGAAAGAAGTTATAGTTTTTTCAAATGTCCAATATGTTGAGTGATAAGGGTCTACACATCATAGCTCGTTTAGTTACAATGTTTGAGCAGCTGGTCCTCAAAAAGATTCACTTCATACTTACCATAATAGTTTCCTACTAACCAAATAGCTTACCAAAATGGGTATTTTCAGTGAGGAGAAGCATTCCTGATTTGACCTGAGTCGGTTTCTCTTCCAGATGTTCTTTCTTAGCTCCATGGAAATCTTTTTCTAGATTATAGTAACACAACCTTTTATATGAGATGTTGAGCGGGTTATATTGAAGCCCTACGCTCTGCGATATAAAGTTTTGCACCGGAGATTTTGCATCAGAATTGTTCAGGAGATCTTCAGTTATTGGCGACATTATCACTATAAAAAATTAAGGCTTTAGAGACAAAAATTTAGAGATAAAATTACTTTTTAGAGACCAAATATTTTTATTACCAAAAATGTTATTATATTTTTAGCCATAGAAATTGGACATTAGTGATGAATTATTATCCTTTTGGGACCAAAATCTTTGTCTCAAAAAATAAACCCTTTTGGGATCAAATTATTTTGTCCATAAAAGCGTATTTATTAGTGACATTTTAAAAATATTGTCGCTAAAAGCCTTGTTTATTACTTTTCAGGACGACCTTTTAGCGACTATGCTTACGACGATAGAAATTATCCCTAAATATTATTTGCAATAAAATTTTCACTTTTAGGGACCACAAAATTTGGTCTCTAAAACTCTTATATGTTGTGAGGAGATTAATATGCTTTTCAACGGCTTGAATTAATCCTTTACGGTGTTTTAGCGATTAATATGCTTTTGATTATTAGCTCACCTGATATTTCCTATCCTTCCAGAGTGTTCCTATTATTAGCTCTCTTTGATTTACCCAAACAAAAAAGGTTATTTGTGCAAGGGGTTCAACACCATTCAACCTGAACACACTTCAGCAGTCAACAATCTGTGCACTATCGGCATCTCAAGACAAGTTTGAGCAGCATTATGTAGTTGTCTAGGCATCCATAGCTTTATTACAATTTCTTTCGCACTCCAAGTCATAGAATGTAATGAGACAGTTGATTTTTTCCCTGTAGAAACCATGACACGACTATTATATTTCATTGCTAGCTAGGTTAATAGTAGTAATAGCACTTGTCAAAAACAATTGGAGTTGTAGCAATTTTATTGTCTTATAGCCGAATCAACACAATTTCTGTTTTATCGACTTCTCTAGTCCATAGACCTCCCACTGATCAATTCTTGCAGCTATTAACTTGTACATTAGGAGCAAATTAGTGCCTTTTTTTTTTCTTTGTTGCAGTTCAGCAGTTTCTTTATTGAAACAACATGAATGAATGCCAGGCTTTTTGCGACGGCAGCCATACTGTCGCAAAAGGTATGAAATTTATTGAAAAACAAGGCTTTAGCGACGGTATAATTGCCGTCGCCAATAGTCATTAGCGACGGCTCAGGTTGCTGTTGACAATAGTCAAAAGCGACGACATTTTTTAGCGACGGAATTTTTGCCGTCGCACAAACCTATTTTAGCGACAGAGAGCTTGTGCTGTCACAAAAAAACTCAGATTTTCATCCATTATGGGCGACAGAAAATTACCGTCGCAAAATAGAAAATTTCTCGTCGCAAATACAATGGCGACGGCAACTCTAAAACTCTTTTGCAACCCTCTTTGTTGTGACCCTCACTTGCCGTCACAAAAAAAAATTACCGTCACAAATAACTTTTAAGACGGCGTGCGAGAGTATTTACGACGGCATTTTGCTATCGCAAAAAACATTTTTTTTTTATAGTGCCACAAAGAGACAGAAGAGATTACTTATACAAATTTGGCAGAACAAATTTCCAAGGGAATGATCGCATTCCACTTCAATCTACAACAAAACTTTCCAGCATTGATTGCTGTAGCCAATTTACAGCTGACAGTCCCATGTACAAGAAAGCTTATTGGCTACAAAAATAGCAATCATAGCCCTATTAGCCACAACAGAAACATCAAGTGACCTATACTATGAAGCACCGAAACCTCCCCGACAGGTATAGATATTTAACACATGCCAAATATACACACATGTCGGACACACTGAAAAAAATTAGACACGCTAGGACATTTTAGATACGGACACGCTAAATACTCTATTTTTCTCCAACAAAATTAACTTTTATTTATTTTTTACTAAAATAACATATCTAAAGTTAATAAATTTGATAAAATTAAATATTTAACATAAAATATATATTAAATATTTATAAATATATATAATAAAAATATATTTCTTGAACAAATGTGTCGTGTCTTGTATTTTTTAAAAATTTACATGTCTCAGTATCCGTATCGCGTCCATGCTTCTCAGGAAGCATAGTACGAATTACAGATCTTAGCTATTAGAGACAAATTAGTACACACAAATAAACAAAAGACAATGTTGCAATTATAACAGAGAAGCCAGTTGCATTAGCGTTACAAGCTAAAAACAGCAACCTTCCTTACTAGCACTCCGAACTGCACATGACTTAAGAGGACCAGAATAACAAGAAGAACCATCAAAATTAAGTGCGCCCTTGGTAAAACCTGCTCGGTGTTACATTTTTGCAAACCTTGCAATGTACTTGAGCTGAAGATCTCACTGGCAACATGATGAACCCAAAGATTCTTAAGCTACAGCATGAGCATGTGTTTTTTGGTACAAGCGATATATTAGTGTAGTTTTTGACATCTGGGGCTCCCTTTCAAGGACAGCAATCACATCCTTAACAGAGATGGAGCGAGCAACTTCAGTTTGAGGAACCACAACTTGATTCCTTACGAATTGTCTACTTAACCCTGTTGAGAAAACATAGATTAAAAACAGAGATCGTGCAATGAATCATGCAATGCTGAGTATCATATCAAGGAACATTACCACACCAAATGCTTCATTTTATTCAATGGAAATACAAAAATAGCCAGCATCATTTTCATTTTCTGTTTTCTGTTCTTAAAAATAGAAAAAACAAAAACTGATATGGAAAACTTGTTTGCTAAACTGTTCCTGAAAATTGTATTTGGGAAACCTTTTTCTGCAAACATCCCAATTTTTAGCAAACATTTTAAAGTTGTTTATTGAACTTCCAAAAACTTTTTTCGCACGAAAATTTTAGCCATATAAAAATGGTGTGTGCTTTCAAACCTTTCACTGTTTTTGGTCCCTTGGCATCAGGTGGGCATCCCAAGAACCTTGCTTGGTTAGGCCAGGAGTTCAAACCACACCAGGTTCAAGTTGCATGTAAAATGATTACATGATGCTCTCTCTCTCTCTCTCTCTCCACAAAAAACAAAAAGAAAACTCCTGTTTAGGGTTGGCTGATAAACCATTCAAACCAGCCACCTTGTGCTGCTTTTTCCAAGTTGTAAATTGTAATTGATAGTGATTAATACATTAGTGACTGAAAGAAACAAGATGTTGATATGATCAGTTGACCACTCATTTATACGTTTCTACAGGTCGGCCAATGGTCTAGCTTAAAAAACCAGCAAATACTGATTTTAATATAACAGAGTAAAATTTTAGATGGGAAAATTTCAAATTGATTAAATAATTCTTACATGCATGTTTATATATGTATGTACTAATTATAATTTATAAGTTCATTTTGCACCTTATTTAGGTGGTTCAAAGAGTAATAACAAAGGAATAGTTTCTAGTTCACAACTCATGCACAAGAGAGAGAGAGAGAGTTGAAGCTTTGGAACCATCAAATTAATAAGTAATTAACAATGATAAAAATTGGCCAATAATTAATCTATATCATGCTTACCAGATGACACAGCAGCACTTGGCTGGCCCATTTTCTCTGCTTCTTGATTTTCCCTTGCATTTTTTCCAGAGGATGATAAATGCTTGTGGCTCATATCACCCAACTGAGAACCAGAAGCAGCATCAATTCCTCCTTCACGTTTTTGCCGAGCTTGCTCAGCCATTAGTTGCCATTTTGACAGCATATCATCTCCTCCAACAGCAGCTCGCGCAGCAACATTTGCAGCTGTTGCCCGCATTTTGTCATCCTCTTCTTTGTTTGCCTGCATATGTAGTAAAAGTTCGACACACAAATTTCTTTTCTTTTTTTTTATTTATTTATTTTTATGCTCTGTTTGTTTCAGCAGAAAATATTTTTTATAGAAAACTTTTTTAAGAAAACGTTTTCCTATGTTTGGTTACGTCTTTCAAACTGATGTACTACTTGTATTAGGTGGTGGTGGTGGTGGTGGAGGTGGAGGTGGAGCAACAATGGTGCCTATAATGTCAATGACAATAGTGGTGAAGGTAAAGAGATAGTGGTTGTGGTAACGGTGGAGGGATAATGTATTTAAGATAAAAAGGGGGTGGCGGCGGCGGTGTAATGATGGTGGTTATTGTGGTGATGGAATGATAATGGTGGTTATTGTAGTGGTAGAAGGGTTTGTATTAGTTATAGTGGTAGTGGTGATTGTGATCATTGTAGTGAAATGATGGTGGCATTTAGAGCATCTCCAGCAAACATAGCTAAAATAGTTATCCAAAATTTTACTTTACTGCTTTAGATAGTCACTTTTTAAACATACACTCCAACAACGCTCTACTTTAATTATATTCCTTTAAAATATTCTTATTCTTTAACCCGGTCGTTCACCAAGATATCCCTAGGTCGTGGTCATCCCCCAAGACAACCACCTTGTGTAATACTTTGTGGTCATCCACCAGGAGAACCAGCTTGTGTAATACTCTATTGAAATGTTTGTATCGACTTAGCCAATGCTCGAAAACAGAGCTAGGTTAATCTCCTACTACGGCCCTAACAAGAGTAGCAAGCCAGAGCTTAGCCATTTTGCACTGTGGTCATCCCCCAAGACGATCACCTTGTGTAATACTTTGGTGAAATGTTTTGGACATCCTCCCGATCATCTGCCAAGACATCTCCTAGTCTTCCAATTATCATAATTCTAATCTCTTGGCTTTATTTATAATTATTTGATGCCTTAAAAGTACAAAAAGTATGCAAACAAGTAGGCAACCAAAGCAAACCAGGAAATTGGACAACTGAACCAAGGCTGGGGCAACAAAGGAGGAAAAGAGCTTTGTGTGGTCGATCAGGTGGATGACCGGGTGATCAACCTGGAAGTTTTGCTCACTTTAGTGCCAATCTGATAACTATAACTAGTTCAATTTACTGCATTTTTCACAAAAAAAAAATGGACGACAAAAAAAATAAACTATACATTTTTTTATGATAAACATAATAAATTGAACTAGTTACAATTATTGGATCGAACTAATTTTTTGTGTGGATGAAATATACGAAGTATTCAACAAAATGAATGATTTGTATTATCAAAACAGGACCAATGGTAGATTCCACGGGCCGGAACAATGCTCTCCAGTCTAGATTTTGGACTGGAGGGATCCTCCACCTATTAAGTATACAAAAGAAATTAATATAAAAAAAAGGAAAATAAAATGTATTACTAAAGTTAGTAAATAAACTTAGGGTTTAAAATGAAATCAAACTCAAGTGCATGGAATTTTTCTACATTATGAAATAATACACAAATACCTATTTGCAATTAATAAAGGCTAGAATAATATACTAAAGGTTCTGTGGGGGCCGAGTATTAGGGGATGCAAATAGGCCAAATAGGTGAAAGAATCAAGACATATACATTGTATTCGGCCCCGTCTTATACAAATTCAGAAGTATCCTAATCGGCCACATAGCCAGTTGAGCGAGGAGCCGAGTGAAAAGTGATTTGCAACAAAAGGAGCCGAGTAAGTAGTTACACGGTGGATTAAAGGTGGGCCCGACCTTGAGGCCCCAAGAGAAGATATAAATAGAAGAACATCAACCAGAGAGAGGTATATGAGAACGAGTAGATATAACTTAAGACATAAGCAACCAAGAGAGTGGATACTGACTTATCCGTCAGAGTGCTAATTCCGGCACCCCCGACCGGAGTGTTCATTCTTTTTCAGGTGACTAGCTGAGAATCACGAGCGCCCCTCAGGATCCAAAGAGTATTTCCGAACCACTTCTCCACAGGTTCGTTGGACCTAATTGCAAATTTTAGCAAAATCGGAAGATGAAATAGAATTAACTAGAAACTTAGAATTTAGAGTACAATGACTAAAAATTAGGGTCTCTACATGTTTCCATTCCAAAAAAAAAAAAGAAAAAAGTATAGGTTTCACCATTTAAGCTATCTACGAATATTTTCTATATTTCTTTCACAAAATACTGAGAAAAATAGAAAAAGGGTTTTCCAAGTTGAACAACAAAAGGAAGATCGCATTCAAAGTCACAACTGCACGTTTGTAATAGAGTCAGGAAGTTGTCCACTCTAGAATAAAAATAAAAACAAAAATAGAAATTAGAATTTCAATGGAGAAAATGAAACCACTCATTAGTTCCCATCTTGGAAATTTTGAAGGGAAAATGAACACCACGTACTAATACAAATTACTAAACCAATTAATTTGTAGCTGTTAGAAACATTACGATGAAGCCAATCCATGATATGCCAACATTTGAAATGTTGATGCAACTAATTGATTTTACCAAAATAAATTACATCAGTCTTAGTGGTAACAATGAGATGGAGATCACACAGCATATACTAACCCATAAAACAAAAAACTAGAAATTATTGAAATGTACTGTTTTCAACCAACTACCATTGGCACCTAAGAATATACAGATTCAATAGCAAATGAGAATGAAATTAATCCATTCAGTAGAGGTATATAGAATTATAGATAGAAGAGAAAAAGGAAATATTTTAAAGGAAAAGAAAATAGAATGACCATAAAAACAGTGATGTGTGTTGATACAGGTGAAAAATAGAAGCTGGAAATCTGAAGAAATGGACAATTTAGTATGTTATGAGAGTTACAGTTTAGTTAGCAAAGTAGTTAGTTTGTTAAAGAAAGAGAGTATAAAGCTTCTTTTTGTTGGGATTGTATCAGAGGGATCAATGATTGTAATGAAGGGTTTTTTTTTTTTTATTCACAATCTCTCTGTTCTGCCTCTCTTTTCTCCTCTTTGAACGGTATCTAAGCTCTTTATAGATAGTGATTTAATTATTTTTTTATCTATATATAGTCATCATCATTTCTCTCTCAAATTTCTAACTTTTTTATTGATTGTGATTTGATTGGACTTGGTGTGTTTATTTTTACGAAAAATATCAAATCGGTCCGAATTTTGAAAAATAATCATAACTTAATAATAAATTTTATAAATATTAATAATTATAAGTATAAAATTTACATGAATTTATAATTATTTTTTTAAAAATACTGATTTATAATTTTTCTTTTATATTATTTCTTTAAAAAATTTACTTAGGCTCCGTTTGGGAAGATAAGTTGTGGGCTTTTTTGGCTATTTTAGACACAACAAACAAAACATCACATCCAATCCATAATCATTGCACTCTTCTCTCACAAAAAAAGTCAAAAAAGTCGAAAAGCCAAAAAACCCTTTCCAAATTAAGTTTTTTAGCCCAGGCTAAAATAATCAAAAAATCAAAAAGTCAAAAAGCCAACCCACTTTCCAAACCAACCCTTATAAATCTCATTTTGAAGAATGGTGATCCATTTAATCCCAAGGATTTATAAATCAATTAGTTCCATTAATTTTAGAAAGGTAAATTTAATATATTATTTGAAAATTAAATTTACGGTTATACCTTTATTTCTATTACGTATCTTTCTCTTTTTTCTTTTATGCTAGAAAGATAAGATACATAATCTATGATAATTAAATTTGAGATAAATTTTTTGTATAAGAATCTTTTTTATTTGGAAAATATTTCAAAAAAAGTATAAAAATAGTTTGAAATATAAATTTTTTCAAACATTCCAAAATGATGTGAGATTTTTCAAACATGTCAAAAGGAGTACAAAAACTCGTTGGTAAACTTTGGACAAATATATAATTTCAAATTCTAACACTCTAATGTAACACTTAAACGTAACACTCTAAAAAAAAAACTTGGTATATTTTTTTCAAACATAACACTCTAATATAATACTTCAGAAAAATTTCTTAGTAAAATACTCTAATATAACACATAAAAAAAAATTTCTTAATGTACTTTTCTCAAATGTAACACTTCATTATAATACTCCAAAAAAACTAATTAGTGTAACACTTTAGTGTAACACACACAAAAAAAACTCATTAGTATATTTTTTTCAAACGTAACACTCCAATATAACACTTTAAAAAAAAAAAAATTCCTTAGTGTAACACTCTAATATAACACACAAAAAAACTCCTCATTGTACTTTTTCCAAACTCCAATATAACACTCTAAAAAAACTCCTTAGTGTAATACTTTAATGTAACACATAAAAAAACTCCTTAGTGTACTTTTATCAATCGTAACACTCTAATTTAATTCTCCAAAAAAAGCAAACCATTTCAAAAGGAATACAAAAATTCCTTAATAAGTTTTGGACAAATTAATAATTTTAAATTGTGAGGGTTACGTTTAGAAAAAGTACACTGATGAGTTTTTAGTGTTTTTGTGTGTGTTACATTGAAGTATGTTACATTGAAATGTTACGTTTGTGATTACATTGATTGGAGCATTACGTTTGGAAAAAGTATACTAAGGAGTTTTTTTTTTTTTTTTTTTTTTTTTTTTTTTTTTTTGTGTTACATTAGAGTGTTACGTTTAGGAAAAATGCACTAAAGAATTTCTTTTTTTAGTGTTACATTGTTACGTTTAGAAAAAGTACATTAAGGAGTTTTTTAATTTGTTACATTAAAGTGATACATTATTGGAGTGTTACATTAGAGTGTTACGTTTTTGTTCGTAATGTGGAATTTGTTCTAGAAAGAAGGAAAATCCAAAACTTCTATATTGCGAATTGCCCAAATGTGTAATTTTATATTTAGAGAAACCCACTTTTATCCCTGAAAAATTAAATCCAAACATGTAAGTGACTACCCTTTTGTGTAATTTCCACTTTAATGAGACCTTTGGATTCAAAAGAAAAAAATGAAGGACTAAACAATTCAATAAAATCACATTTTGAGATTTATTGGTGTTTCACCCATTTTGAA